GAGCGGATCACGTGACGTCACGGACTGCGTCGGGTTGGGTCAAACAGTGACATTGATCCGATCCCACTTGGTTAACCCCGCGGACAAACCACCTTTGTTTTAAGGGAACGCGGCGCACGTCCTCGCACGCCCTTTTCCTGGAGCGCCAGCACCCGCAGCGGTCATACTAGCGCTCAGCAACCACAGCGCAACCGGGATTCGAATCCGGACCCCCACGTGGAGGCTGAGAGCGTTAACCACTCGGCCATTACTCCCCCTGGGCAGACCGAGTCACGCAGGGTCAGGTAGAATAGGTCACTGACCCGTCGAGCGTGGTTGCTAATTTAAATAAACCTTCATCAAACCTTCATCTGGGAAACCTAGCGGCCCATCCACCCACGCCAACAGCCGCTGACGGTCATCCATCTGGACATGCTGTCGAGCACGCGCACCTCTTGTTTGACCTGAAGCCATGTTTTTCGGATATCCTGGTGCACAAACACGAGCGCCTCGGTGCTGCTGTAGTCGTAGGCCGCGCGGTCGATGACTTGGCCGAGCGTGGCCGAAGTCAGCGGGGTGGCGCCTGGACAGTGGATGTAGCTGTGGCGAAGGTGCGTCTTGGGAGCCGACCTGGGGTCATAGGAGCTGGTTAGGGTCGGCCCGCCACCCCGCCGTGCGTCTTGGGAGCCGACCTGGGGTCATAGGAGCTGGTTAGGGTCGGCCCGCCACCCCGCCGTGCGTCTTGGGAGCCGACCTGGGGTCATAGGAGCTGGTTAGGGTCGGCCCGTCACCCCGCCGTGCGCCTTGGGAGCCGACCTGCGGTCATAGGAGCTGGTTAGGGTCGGCCCGTCACCCCAGACATACAGCCCGCAACGGCGGAGCAGCACAGCGGCACGGCGTGTGAAGATGGGCCTGACTTCATGGAGCGGTAAAGTGAGGGTGGCTCGGCATTTTCAATGACAGTGATACTATCACATAAACATGACAGTAAAGCGTCTTCAATGCGACAGGAGACGCTGGTAAACAGACGAGATGCAAAAAATATATTTGATAAAAATGGGAGGTTTCGATCAGCTATCACTTTCCACGGTAAAACATTAAAATACCGATACTGAAATCCGACTGAAATGTCCAGTTTTAATGCAATCCCGTACGTATAACAGTAATGACATAACATATTAGTTTGGATCAGCTATCATTATCCACGGTAAAATTGCTTCTGACATCTGACCGCAATGCCCAGTTTTTAACACAATGGTTTGCACATCGCGCCTATACAAACCGGGGCTTGTACACTGACCGAGACCGGGACATTGTGCGTTTACCGGGACTGGTGATATTTCAAACGTCGTTCATCATCAGGCATTTAAAAGGTGTCCCGCTCGCTTCTCTGCGCCAAGAGGCGACGCTACTGGCGTTGGGGGCCCCCCCGCCAACGACGCAATGTTGGCTCGCGCCCCAAAACGTCAAGCGGATCACAGCATTTGTAAGCTGTTTAACGCTTATGAATCTCTGGGACACATTCTCCGCGCAACATTGTTCAGCGCGCTCGGGGTAACGGACAGATACTATTCAAAGTGGTTCATCCTTGTTTCGCTGCGAGAAGAGCTGGCGCCGTTGACGGCGGCACAGCACTGCCTTCCGCCACTGTGCATTGGTTCGCACCTCAATGGTGCGCAGTGTGTCCTGATCCCTTTTTTTGTCTTACGATGCTCGCGGATATTGACAGCGGCCTCCATATGAGGATGTTCACCCTTTCTCGTGCTCTGCGGCATGTTCTCAAGGACTTGGAGCTTGAACGACTTGCTTTTCCCGAACGTACGAAAATGATTCCCACAGGTAAATGCTACAGCGTGCCCTGCCTTCCTACGCGCTGTGACCGGCCGGTATCGGTCGGCCGTGACTTTCAGCCGCAGCGTCACGAAGGCTGAGCCCGTCATGTGTACGCATTTTACCACAGTCCGTGCACCCGTCTGTCCTGTGCGTCTGGGTAAAAAATACAGACACACAGACAGACGTACGCTCTTAACTTAACATCATGTGTCGCCTATAATGGTTGGGGAAGCGTTCCGGACACGTGGTCAAGGATCAACTGTCAGCAGCAGATTGATGACCTCCGAACATAAACCCACAGGTCGTTGCAGTTTTACCCTGGAACGAGAATGCGATTTGCCGCCCTTCTCGACACACGTTATTTATTACTTTGTTGACATCGTAGCGTCTCCGTTTAGTTGGCAAATTTGCATAATCCGGCAGTTTGGAATCTCAGCCCTGAAGTAAAACCCGGCTAAGTTACGGCCTGTAATCTAAACGTGAGCGTCTGTCATTAAGATGAAACTCCAACAGAACAGGAAGCAGCAATTCAACAAACTGTTTCCTACGGCCTTTTTTCCGTGCAGGACTATAACGTGATCGAGGCTGTTATTCACAACACCACAATTTTTCATGACTCAAAGACCGGGAGCTACAGGCCTTCTTATTTACATAACTTAGGTGGTTGAATTTTTATGCGATGCATGAGCGCTTGGACAGGGACTTTTTCAACCTGAAGCAACTCGCAATTGCCTTTCTTGTTCTGTACTGCTTTGATGCAATTTATTGCCTGTGTTAACTCGGCTCCCAGTCAGTATCAGCCACGCCATATGACATCGCACCCGATCACCACCCGAAGTCACGTCCGGTCACCTGACAGGAGCTGAGCCGAAGTAGCGTCTTAAGCGCACGTGCGATAAGTAACCCAGTTTGATGGTGACATTTCTAAACTAAATACTGCGACACAACGCATGGACCGAAAATGCAGAAATATTAGAATCGATGGGGTGACCTGACTTTATCTCTGACATTCAACATTGCGCATGATTCTAAAACGTCACACGCATCGTTTCGTTTCGTACCAATGGCAACGCTCTTCGACCCAAATTACGACTTCTAGATGCTCTCTGAAGTCGTTAGAGAATCCGGCGATTGCGAACAAGCATCGGTAACATAACACTACATTGTGTTAGTAAGTAGTAGCATCAATACTACCCTGAAGCGCAGTGTTTTGCGTGATCTGTGACGTCATAAATCATGTATAGTCATAAACTTAACAATTTATGGGTGAGATTGACCAGAGCCAGTGATTTCCGGCTGAACTGTTCCCATCCGACTATTAAATCCTGAGACACCAGGGGCTTACATTTAGTCCCCCCCCCCCCCTCTTCCTCCTGTGGTCGTGCGCGGCAAGATATCTCAGGCGGTGGCGGGTTTAACTTGATTTCATCCGACTGAGGCGAAAGCTCTGTCCCCTCTCTGGTTTACATCATTGTACAAATAAATCGTTTTCCGTACGGCGCTGAAAGTCCGTACCTTTCCTTGCCTACTGAATGTAACACACCCCGACAAAATCGACGCGCCTGCACTGCCCAAGGGTGGCCATAGGCGTCATTTGTGAGACACATGTCAAGACAACGGGCGGTCTTTTCGCAGGCATACATTGACGCATTATTCACTACTGATAACAGTCATAGTTGCGAGAAGATTGCGGTGGTTGTAAATCCGGATATGGCGCATTAGTATTCGTGTGATATAAATATAACGGCAATCCGCGACACAAACTTTTCTTGTTTTAAAGCTTTTTGCATGAATGTCAGAGCCAGCATACCAATCACATTATTCACCTATGAGTACTTGCTATGGTTTATTGTTTTCCCTTAACACCTATTTTATTCCCACAGTACTAAATCCACACACCAAACACAGTGGTAGCATAAAATATCCGGTGCATACATCATCCGTCATTATGAAAAGATCATAGCCAGCATCACTTCCATCCGGTACGACCTGCAGCATACCACACCGTTTGCACTAAAAGGAAATGTGTCACATTTGAAAATATTGAAGGAAGCGTCAGATATGATGGAATAAGCTCTACATTTGTTCATGTCCACATGGGTTCCACATTTGTATGGAGGACACTCCCTTTATTGAAGATAATTTGGTGCGATTCACAGTTGTGCCCTGCTTAAATCAACCCTCTAGTTTCTGAGCTACACCCCCGCGAAGATCAAGGTCACCCCGGCATCCATGACGTAACAACGTCATTCAAAACCTCACATTCCAGTGGTCACGCGGCAATAAGGCCAAAGGATATAAAAGTCAAGTTGCTGAAACCTGGCGTTCCGGAGCACCACCTTCAGATGACGGCCGTCAACTGACCCCCCGTCGATGACGTCCTATGTGCAATGACGCCATCAAACCATGACGCATTGAGGAGATGTTACTAAATGGAGAAAATGTGTCGTCTAGGTCAGTCTTTTCCACTTAAAGCACACAAATAGTTACGGCTCAGTTATTTAATCATAGCTGTTGCTTGCTTGCACATCTTCAGTACTGGAATTTTCCCATTGATTCCCGGGTTGGAAGACAAACGTTCTTGCCAGCATGCATGGGGGCTATGCAAGCCAATGAAATTACATCATAAGGCATATGAATAATCGCTTTTCTCCTCTTCTGAACGTAGCAAACACAGACCAAGAAAAGAATGTTGCTTGCGACCATTCATATTTTCACTAGACCATTCATATTTTCACCAGACCACTCCTATTTTCACCAGACCATTTTCATCTGGCAACCCAAGTCATTTTCTTCCAAAAGCGATCTGTTTACCGTTAATACTCGTGATCTAGTCGCCAATTTGTAAGCAATTACTTGCGCAGCCTTTAATTTCTTCGTAGTTAAGATTCACAACGTAATGCGGGTTTACAAGTGAAGATATGCTGTTTGTTAGTAAAAATCATCCGATTAATTGTGTAGCGGCGGGCGACATTTTCAAATAATGCGTATCACAGTGCATTTAAATCATGCGATACGTAAGTGCTAAAGAACTCCTCCCATAATATATTTATCACACGACACTGATATCTGAAATGGACAAAAATGACTATCAAACTACTGCGCAGACATTGAAATGAATCAGTAACATTACAAATGTAAATTTGCCAAGACGGTATGCATCTGAAGAGTAGCCTACATTGCAATAATTGCAATGTTGTGGACTTAATACACTGGTAAAGCATTTCACACATATTTTCCCAACTAAAGCCACAATGTGTACAATCTTCCCATCTAGCTGAGGGGCTACGTGTTTGGGTACTTATCGCAGCTCTGCAAAATGTAAGATGTGCAACCCGTTAATCTGGACTGATTTCTCAGAACAAAGATCGAAACAACTTATAATTTTTCCGCCTGAGTTATTTCCGGTACGACCCGTCTGCTCACTTGAGTTTCCGTGTCTGGTGTTTTGTTCCTCATAACGCTTCGCATGACAGCAAATTGATTCTGGCTAGAGAATATGCATGATTAACCTAAGTTATATCCATTATATATGTACCATTGAACAAATCGTTACCAATTTTGATTCCTTCCTGATATCAGCCTTGTGTATGTTAACGTGCATATTTCTCTTCCAGCGAATCAATTCTTTTGGTAGGTGCATAGCTGATGTAAAGGTTAAGTCGTCTTGCCTGAAATTCAGCAATTACATCTCATCATAATTTTGGAATCCTAAACACTTAAAGGGGCGGGGACACATTTGAGTGGGGTTTTGAACGGAGCCATTTTAATGACTTTCCTGCAGTTTACAAGCCACGTCCTCTCAATACTTCAAATACTCTTGTTTTCTGAGCTTGATGTACCGCGAATATTGCAGGGCTATTTCGAAACGCCTATAGTTCAAAAAAACCCCGGACAAAAACAAAAAACAACACCAAATACAAAAACAAACAATAAAAAACAAAAACAAAAACAACCAACCGTACCTCCAAACAAGACACGAGGCCATCAAGAAAAAGAGACAAAAACATCACGAGCGAGGGTCAAAATGTACGCACATAACGATCGTACATCACTGTCACGCACCTAAATCAAGAAGCCACAAGTGAAGCACGGTGTGCGCTCGGGCGGCAACTCCGATGCGGCATCTCTGGCAGTGACTTTGATGTCATAGCAACATTCCAAAACGTTATAAAACGATGACGTTTTCAGGATCATCGTTACTTAGTAAAGATACTGTGTATTACAGCAGTATTTTGCACCTTAAAACATTCCAATAGTTACATGTGAGCTTTTTCACCATATCTGATCCTTGCCTCAATATCCTCAAATGTGGAAGACTCATTAGTCAGTAATTTCGTCAGTGCCCACGCTGGTTCTAAGCAGGTCGTTTCAACACGTATTCCATGATCGTGCCTGCATCATTTTACACATGATTGATCCCCAGTTGCAGTATAGGCGCTTTATCCATGCCGTATTTAATTATTAGCAGAACGTCTGTA